TGAAACCCCCATCCCACCATCCCCTTCCCATCCACCCCACAGCCGCCACTGCAGCCCTGCTTGGGGACAACACGCGTGTACATGTCCGTGTGCGTGTCCATGGACAGACGGGGGGGGGGGTGTGCAAGGGGTGCCCCCCGACTCGCTGGGTGCCTCTGATTGGCCGAGGGGCCGTCCAAAATTCCCTGGTTGCAATGGGTCCCACCTCTCGCTGCTGCCGCACCGTATATAAGGGCAGGCAAAGAAGTGGGCAAAGGGCAGTAGGAAGTTTCTGCTGGGGTCTGGATTTGGAGCTCCAGGGTTGGATCGGCCCCGTATGACCCCAACCTAAGAACAAAAGAGACCCCAAAGAGTCTACATGTCTAATATTTAGACATGTTCAGCTTTGTGGATTCTCGGTTACTGCTGTTGATAGCAGCGACTGTACTACTCACCCGCGGGCAAGGAGAAGAAGACAGTGAGTAACCGGCGCTGGGTGATGGTCTTCACCCCGGTGGGATGTGGGGTGTGGGGTGGGATGGGGTCTGGTGGCATCGGTGCCCCTTGGTCCGGCTGCCTTGGTGTGGGGAAGGAGGAAATCAGGGTTGGTGTGCAGAGCAGAGAGGGAAAATCAGGGGGAAAGTAGGGAAATTAGGGAAAAACTTAAAAAAAAAAAAAAAAAAACAAAAAGGGGCTTGGGGGTATTTGGAGTTGGGGTAAAAGGGGTTTAGGGGGGTTGTGGCCGTGTGGAGAGTCGGGGCGCCCTGCCAAGAGCAGGGAGGGAAGAAAGGGTGGAGAGGAGCCGGCGGGGAAGGAGGGAGCCGGGACGGAGGGGAGGAGGAGGAGGAGGCCGGGAAAGGAAAGGAAAGGAAAGGGGGAAAAGAGCGCGGGAGAGAGGAGAGGGGGGAGAGGAGGGAGAAGGGGGGGCCCAGCCCCAGGATCTGCAAAAGCCATCAGGAAAGAATTAGAAAAGTCTCGGATGATTCATAAGCAAAATGTTTCGGCAGTCGAAGGAGCTGCCAGGGACAGGGGACGGGGGCACGGCTGGGGTCACCCCCCCACTGCCATATCCCCCCTGTGCCCCACTGCCACCTGCAGGAGGGGGACACGGGGGGACGCTGGGGCAGTGCCAGGCCCAGGCGCCCATCGTTTTTTACCCAATTTTGTCGGGTTTGGGGGATATTTTTTTGATGCTTTTTTTCTTTAACATCTTTTTTTTTTTTTTTTAATTCTGCATTTTGCATTGTCAACATTCATCATGCATTTCCCATTCTCCGTTTCCCATTCCCCGTTTCCCAATCCTGCATTTCCCATTCTGCATTTTTTACCTTTTTTTTTCATTCCAGTTTCTGCCTTTTTTTCCATTGGAATTTTGCATTTTCCATCCCCTCCCTTTTTTAAACTTTTTTTTTTTGCCTTTTTATTTCCCTTTGCCTTTTTTTCCTCGTTTGCCTTTTTTACCCCCTTTGCCTTTTTTTTTTTCCCCTTCCCGAGTGGGCTTCCACGAGCTGACCCAGCCCCTCGCCCCCTCCCCAGGACCCTTCCCCACCATGGGGCCACCCCCGGGCTCTGGCGAGCCGCCCTGCCCTCCCCTCCCCACGCCAGCCCCCGCCTGCTTCCACTTTCTGTCCTCCCATTCCCCAATCCCATCTGGCCTGATCCAGCCCTATCCCGCAGCCGCCTGGATCTAATTTCAGCCCAGACGTTGGGGCCAACCCACCCCGTCCCATCCCAGTCCCAACCCCGTCTCATCCCGCCCCATCCCACCCCATCCTTGTCGCCGTCCTCCCGCGGACGGCGGGGACCCCCCTGCCTTTTTTGGGGGGGGATGTTTGCCTTGGCCCCATCCGCCCGCGGGACGCAGAGAGTGGCTGGAGGGATTTTTTTTTTTTTTTTGTTTAAATTCCAGCGTATGTGGGAAGAGTTTATTGTGGAGCTTTTTCCTGTGTCACCGCGATGGGCTGATGAGAACCAGATGAAGGGAGAAACACTGCAGGAGCAAAGAGGGAGATGAAGGGAGGGGAGAGGAGGGAAGGGGAGGGGGAGAGCCAGACGAGATCCATTCTCCTCTCCGTCCTGACGCTTCCTCCTGCCCTGCCCCCGTGTCCCAGTCCAAACTGGGAGCTGCGTACAGGATGGGCTAACGTACAACGACAAGGATGTGTGGAAACCAGAACCCTGCCAGATCTGCGTCTGCGATAGCGGCAACATCCTCTGCGACGAGGTGATCTGCGAGGACACCTCCGACTGCCCCAACGCCGAGATCCCCTTCGGAGAATGCTGCCCCATCTGTCCCGACACCGACGGTACAGTGGCGTGTCCCCCAGAGCTCTCCGACCGCCGAGTTATCCATCCCGGGGGTCCCCGAGGACCGGCGGGGCTCAGTGTCCCCCCCACTCCCCATGTCTGGGATGTTGGGTGGCTGTGGGATTGGTGGGTGATGTTGGGCTGCTCTGAATGCCCCTTTTTCCTCCCACAGCCTCCCCTGTCTACCCAGAAAGTGCTGGAGTAGAGGTAAAGGCTCACACAAAATTAATCCCCCAAAACCTCCCGACATCCCCCCTCCACCTGTATTTTTGGAGACCCCCTTTTCTAACCATCTGTTTCATCTCTCCACCACAGGGTCCTAAAGGAGACACTGGCCCCAAAGGAGATAGGGTGGGTATCACCCCCGCCCCAGGGTAGGCATCACCCCTGGGACCCCCGGCCCGCTGGGGCTCACCCTCCTCTTCTCTCCCCCAGGGACTCCCCGGCCCCCCTGGCAGAGATGGCATTCCTGGACAGCCTGGTCTCCCGGGACCCGCAGGCCCTCCAGGCCCCCCAGGCCTCGGCGGAGTGAGTATGGGGGGTCCTCAGTGATGCAGCCCCCCCTGGGGGTCCCACGCCCTGCTCACCCCCTGCTCTCTCCCTCCTCCCACAGAACTTCGCTCCCCAAATGTCCTACGGTTACGATGAGAAAGCCGGGGGGATGGCCGTGCCTGGGCCCATGGTGAGCACGGGGGGGCACAGGGGGCATGGGGGGAACAGGGGGCACGGGGGGCACAGGGGGCACGGGAGGCACATGGGGCACGGGGGAAACAGGGGGCACGGGGGAAACAGGGGGCACGGGGGGCACAGGGGGCACGGGGGGGTGGAGGGTCAAGTTGGGTGAGGTGCCAGAAGTGCTTCATGTGTTGATAATGCCACTGAGTGGCAGGAGAGGGGAGGGCTGGGGAGGGATGTTGGAGCTGGGGAGGGATGTTGGGCCTGGAGGGGATGGGGACAGGGATGGGGACAGGGTCAGGGTGGTGATGGGGTAACAATGGGGACAGGGATGGGGACAGGGTCAGGGTGGTGATGGGGTGGCAGTGGGGGGGACGTGGTGATGCAGTGGCAAAGTGGATGGTGATGGGGTGGCAATGAGGAACTGGGAATGGGGGGTGATGGGGACAGGGATGGGGTGACGATAGGGACAGGGAATGGGTGGGTATAGGGACAAGGATGGGGTCAGGGACAAGCACAGGGAATGGG